AGCAGGTTGTGGATTTGAAACATTTGTAAAACATTAGTACACCCTTTTCATGGGGAGATGTTTCTTTTAGTGTCTATAAAATTTTTCTGATTGCCCAGGATGCTAATTGTGGGTGATCACCTTAACCTTATTTTTTTTATAATATTGTATCCTGTAGTATCATGGGCTGACTATAGTTGACTCCTGATACTTAATTAGTTGGAGGAATACTTCTGGTCCACAAGATGCTAGGTATAACTGAGAGGCTGCCTTTTGTCAGTGGTCAGAAGGCTCGGTGTTTCCTTTAAAATAATTTAGAAACTCCTTAAAATTATTTTCTGTTGGTTTTGAGGATGAGCTTTCATATTCACACTTAAAGACCTGATTTTTTTTTTTTCCTGAATTTTACTCCCTTTTGAGACTTCTCAGACAGCAACAGTGGTGAAATAAAATGAATACCTGAGCTAGAGAACAGTCAGGATTCACATGGGGTGGATTGACACATGACTTTGTATTCTAGTTGAACAGTAACAGATTACTTAAAAGGCTGGATAATGCAAAATTTAATAATAGCTACTGATACGTATTGCTAGGGAAAAGTAATACAAATTTTTACTGTGAACTGCAGGTTACTTACTTGTTAAATGACAGCAGATGAGAGTGACCATTATCTTACAACCTGGTAGCAGCACGCTTGAGCCACCAATGCAACATGGTGGCAGAGCAGCAAATGCTCTCCAGTCCGTCAAATCAGGTATTTCCAGCAAAGGGAAATAGTGTCACTGTACAAGGACTCATGGGGCTTCTTCTGTACTTTCTTCCACACGTTTCTGATCAGCCAAGAAAGATGAGTTCTAACTGGACCAGTTGCAGAGAGGGCTACCACAATGTCGTGGGTTAGGCTGACCCTCCCACACAGCTGATCACTCCCCCTCCCCCACCCCCAGGAATGAGGGAGAGAGTTAAAGGAGAAACGGGAAACCCATGGGTTGAGATAAGGATGATTTAATACAGTGTAGGTGCTCACCACCCCCTCGTATGTGAAGCCCGTCTCGTCCCAAAGCTGCAATCCTGGACGAACGCGAGGCCCCGAAATAGAGAGGGGCAGAGAGAGAGAGATAGTACTCCGAGAGTGGGAGTACTGGGAGAGAGAGAAAAAGAAAGAAAAACAATAGAGCAAAAGCACAGCAAGCGCAAAAGAGCAAAAGCGGCGAAAGAGCCAAAGCGCAAAAGCCCTTCTGTCCGGCTGACCCTCACTTTTATACTGGGCATGACGCTGCATGATATGGAATACTAATTGGCCAGTTTGGCCCTCAATCTTAAGTTCCACCACAAATCACAAGGGGAATCGTGTCCCCCTTGTCCCAACTATGCTCCCCCCTTATCCCACCGTGCTTCTGCACTCCGGCCAGAACACGGCACACTGAAAAGTCCTTGAAGTCTCACATCCAACCACAAACATCAACTTGCTATCAACATTCTTCTCAGAGCGAGCCTCTGAGTAAAACCAAAACACGGAGCTCTTCCAGCTGTTAAAAAGAAGAGCTAACTGTCCCAGCTAAAACTGGGACACACAATGATGCCAGGAATGATGAGTCTATTTTACAAGAGGAGTTGAAGTTGTTTTGACAAATAAAATGAAGGCTGAGATGATACAAAATTGCTCTCCACAAAAATAGGAGAGTTGGGGCCTGTAGGGCCTGTTGTGATAGGACATAGGAGTAATGATTTAAACTAAAAGAAGGTAGATTCAGACTAGATAAAGGAAGGAGTTTTTTTACAATGAGGGTGGTGAAACACTGGAACAGGTTGCCCAGAGAGGTGGTAGATGCCTCATCTCTGGAAATGTTCAAGGTCAGGTTGGATGGGGCTCTGAGCAACCTGATCTAGTTGATTTAGGTCCGTGCTCATTGTAAGGGATTGGACTGGATGACCTTTAAAGGTGTCCTCCAACCCAAACTGTTCTATAATTCTATGAAAAAGACTAATGGGAGTAAATACTAGTCAAGTGCCATGTGTGTTGCTGTTCAGTACTGGCAAAAGAACAAATGGTATAATCTATTGGTGAATACATTGGAAATATGGTAGAAGTTTTGTGGCAGTTAGGGATTAGCTGGAACAGAATTCCAATGAAAGCAACACACACAGAGTTTTGTGGAAGCTTGTTTTGTTTTTGTTTTTACAAAAGCAGAATAAGAACAACAATAACAATATGGAAATTATTTTAAGAACTCAGTTTATGAAAGCAATTAATTTTAGATTTGTCTGAATGCATTCCATGCTGGTGGAAAGCCAGATTTGATGGCCCTCACGTCTATATTCCATGTTTGGCTATTTTTCTATTAATTTTGTCATCTGTCCATTTAGTATGTGTGTTCATAGTTCTTGTCAGAGGGTTTCTGTTTTAACCTGTTGTATCTCTATTACCAATGTGTGAGTTTACAGATACTACCTTTCTGCTGAGACTCCTAAGTTCCTGCTAAAGCTCTTCAGTTAGTATGAATAAGACAACAAAAATCGTAAACACTGTTACTTGAATTAGGGCCAGAGGGATTAAATTATTTCCTTGAGTTAATGCAGGAAGTTGTGGCATAGCAGGAAATTGACCTCAGATCTCCTCAGGTCTAGGTCTGTGCCCAACTACAAAACGTTTATTTCCTCTAACATTCTTACATAAAAGGTCTTCATGTTTCTTTCATTGTGTTGATCAGCCTGAGACCTACCAAGGATGCAGCAAATTACTAGTACAGATTAGATAACAACTTGTAACATTAAGAATTGAACCACTTTTAAATTTTTAACAGCAAATGCTGAAATTTTCCCAAGAGTGATGATACGGTTTTGAGTTATCACACATACATAGTATCTCACATAAAGTTTTAACATAAATGGTTGAAATCAAAGGTCTCCTTAGCCCCTCTTTCATGAGGGCCTATTACGTAGCTGCGATATCTGCCTGAGAACCGTACAACTATTAATTTCCCATTGCTGTGGCACCTAAAAACTGAATATAGTGGTAGTGTACCCCTAAAACAGACTAGGTAGCTGGCAGCATCTGTAGAGTATGCTTATAGGGCTAAGATTTAGTTGTCAGACAGGTCCTCTACCAGGCATATACCACTGCAACTGAATGACATACTGAGCTGCTATAGTTTCATTAGCTGATGCTTTTGAAAATGGCCCATTTATACCTCTATGCAGTCTCTATACAAAGTCTGTAGACTTAAATTTGGGAATATCTTTTTTTAAAGAAAAAACAATGTGTAAGTTTGAGTGAATTTCACAGTTCACTGACAAAGCAAAAGTTCTTAGTTGTGGTAGAAGTTTGAATGACACTGCCTTAATTTGTCAAAAAACCCCGAACAAACTGCTGCCAAAAAAGAAACCAGAAAACACCACCATATTTTGTTGCTATGGTGTATTCTTTTACAATAAGAAAATCCTTTGAAAATGCCAAAACCCAGGATACTTTGGCTGACTAATGAACATCATCCCTCTTATGTGGAAAAACTGGAAGGTTCAAGAGAATCAGTCCTTTTGTTGTGAAAACTAGCCTCTTAATCTCTGCAAATATGCCATCATTACGTCATTTACTGGTCTGGTCACAATTAGTAACTAAATATGGAAGGAGAGCAATAGAATGGTGTAACAAGACATTTTGGTGTCATACTGGACTGAAACATAAATTACACATTATTAGAAGAAATTTTTAAAATAGATGTTACAAGTATTGATTCACAAGTCTTCTTTCCATATAAGACTGACAGAAATGTAATATACAGAACTGTTTTCTTAGTGTTTAATTGAGCTGTGAAATACCTGTCAATGGATAATGATGCAGGTGCTAAAAGCATGCATGCTATTAAAAAAGGAATAGGACAAACTTATGAAGTAACAATCCAGTAGGTCTGTTTTTTATAAAAGGCAGTACTGTTTCTTAAGCTGTGCTGCAAGCTGTTTCAGAGGTTGGTGAAACATTTTAGGGAGTTATCACTGCACTGCCTACTATGTTTTATCTTCCTGAATATTTGCGGTTAACCCTTGTCCAAAACAGGGTATTGAGTAAGGTGGATATTTAGTTTAATTTAGTACAGATATCTGTCTGATTTATTTAAATGTGTGATAAATAAACCCGAGAAAACCCATTTCTGCTTATTAATTACAGAAACAGTTTAACCTTGAGGAAATTACTATAATGTAAAACATACTAGCAGATATTTAAAAAAATGTATAGTTTGCTAAGTCCTGTATTTTAGCTTGGTAGACATCCCTTTTTAATAATGGAATACCTGTAATACAGAAACTGGACCAAGTTTCATCAGAGTGGTAAGGTAGATAAATCACAAATCTTCAGTAAAATTTAGAATTACTTTCAACCATGAGAGATAAACTTTTTTGAGTATTTCTGATACTCAGAGATCTGAGTAGAGATCTTGGATGTGGCCCTAACTCTTCTGCATGCAGTTTTAGAGCTGCATGGCTTTGAATTCCCTCCAAAATGAGGCAGCTCATAAGATTCCCTTGCATGTCAGTATCTTTTAAATATGGTCTGAATGGCTAACTGTATTGAGGAGTTAAATCTTGTTTGGCTGAATGAAAGGATGATTTGAGTCCACTTTGGTTGTGTCTTATGTTACTTTTCTGTGTCAAACATATGGCACAAAAAAGCGCTACCATACATTTAAATATTTTAATCTAGATCTCTTTTTCTCCTGTGAAGGACTCCCGAACCAATGAAACTCCTCAATTGAGTTATCATTACAAGAGGATCAGTCCATGTACTTATCCCGGTTCACTTTTTTCCTCAGTTCAGCTTTAATGACAGTTTTAACTATAGATTTCTAGATGTCATTAGCCAAACAACTTCTAGACTTTTTGGACTAAGAAAATAATAATTTCATTATGTATCTTCAGAGAATCAAGTAGTAGAGTAAAAAAGTGGTTGGGATGTTTCACACTGTGCAGTCTGTGACTTGTCGCTTAGTCACAAAGAGTAATCCAAAGCCATAGATTTTGTTTTTCATTGCCATATAGAGAAAATATCAGATATTAATGATGTCTGAAAGTGTGTGGCTGATCAAAATATATCTTCTCATCTTTATGTGTTCAATTTTAACATGTTATGTTCAGTGTACCAGACTGTATCTAGCCATATTTGTAAAGCTTGTGGTTTTGGTCTCCTCGTTATCCTGGAGTCATGTGGTTATGTTTTTTTTTTCTCTTTCCATTTAGATGCAGAGCCTGAAAGGTGGTACAGAAGCCATAGCCCATTTGGACAAATTAGAAGCTGATTATTATGATCTACAGCTTCAATTATATGAAGTGCAGTTTGAGATCTTGAAATGTGAAGAACTACTTCTGACAGCACAACTTGAAAGCATCAGAAGACTCATGTCAGGTGCTTTATGCATTTTGATTAAGATGTCATCTGTAAAAGATAATTCTCTTCTATGAGTGTGGTAAAGCTTGTGAGAATGAAATGAGAACAGATTCTTTACTGTGTAAAGAGCTGGATCTTCTGACATAAGTACTGTTAAATTAAAATTTACACCTGTTCATAAGGCATATACATACACACAGAAGTTTTTGTCTGGTTCTCATTGCCTGTGTTTGGCAATAGCATATGAGATACTATGTAAGTTTTGGAAAACTAAATTCTTCAGGGAGGAGGAAATGTTATAATTACAGGATTTGTCTCACTAAATATTTGCATTGGTATTATTCATCTTTGAAGTGATTGGTTTTCAAAAGATATTTCTGCAAACCAGGAATCCTTCAGCTAATCTTTGAAGCTTGTTGTATTGCCATCTCACTAATCTGGAGCACTTTTGTGTACTTAGAAACTATGGAAATGATACAGGTAAATCATACGGTGTCTTTAATCCAGTTCTGTCCTTTGGACCTTTCTATAGTTAATGTTTTTATTCACACAAACTCTGTTTTATTGTTTAGTGCATAGGGCTTGCATAGCAAATTTTGTTATGGATATAAAATTACTTTAGAGATTTGAAGCCGGATTGTATTGTGAGTTGCCTCTGAAAAAAAGAGAAAACATAGGTATAACGAATTCTTCTCCTGTTATGTGAATCTCCTCCTTTTAGGCTTGTGATGGCAACAACTGCAACTGCATGTATGGAAGATGAGGATGGAAAACTCTGTAAATGACTTAAAGAAATATGGCAGCTTTGACTAGGTGCCTCTGTGGAGAGCTCGTTAGTGCTTTAGAGATAGATAGTTGTTGTACGTGGGAAATAATTTAATTTTGGTGCTGAACACATGGTACATTTTGCTTACCTGCGGACCAAAGGAAATGCCTTGAACAGGAGGCTGATAAGGAATGTGTATCAAAAGCCTTTCTCTTTCATGTAGTGGTAGTAACAGCTAAGGGCCCTCAGATTAAGCCTGCTTTAAAAACATCATAGGTCATTATGACTTGTTACTAATGTTTTCTCCAGAAATCTCAAAAAAACCCCCAAAACCCACCAAACCCGCAAACTGACCCGAAAGAAAACAAAACCCTCAGTCAGCTAAGCAACCAACCAATCCTTCCCCCAGGGCAACAAAATAGTTCACTGTTCTGGCTTCCTTTGCTGTTTTAAATTTGTAAATTATTCTTTAATACAAAATCAAAAAAGTGTTGTGTTTTTTTTCTGTTAGACACAAATTACTGTTTTTTAACAACTTTCAGTTAATATCCCATAGGACAGAATAAGATACCATTCTTAAGTATGTGGAAACTTTGCGAGAAGGATGAATTTACCTCTTTGGACTTGACTTAGGTGGAGGGCATAGAACAATTAATGTGAAGAACATGACACTGAAGTGGCCACACTCTTCAAGACTGTTCAGCACCTAATCTGAATGAAAGCGTCTAAAACATATAGTGGTGTTCTAATATGTTGTTTCCTGTGCAGTCAAAGAGAAATGAATGGTCTGCTGCATCTTCTATTAACCTTCTTATTTAAGGTGTACTTATAGTCAGTAGAGTAATAGCCTTTTAATTATGCAGATCTGTATGATTTGAAATACATTTGTCTTAGTGATTTGTAGAGGCTGTTGCTATTCTTTACTCTTTGACTGTATTGGCTCTGCAGAGATATTTCAGAGAATTTGGGACTATATTTTGATTTGAGGGACATCAGCAGTACTGCTAATGAAGTCCTAACAGAATTTTTTGAGAGCTTGATTTGATTTGACTGCTGGTTGGTTGAAAGCTAGAAGAAAAAAAATTTTTTTTTTTTGCAAATTCAGCACATTGGATCTGAAAAGTATAAAATTATAAGAGATTGTCATATTATAAACAGTAGTATTTTTTTTTTACTGTCATTAACCAAATACCTGCATGGAAATTCACAAAATGTGAATTTTTTATGTTAGAATTTTAAAGGGTCTTATCCTATCCATACAACATATTTGTACATCCTTGTAAGATGGTTTTGTGGTGGACACGTTGCTGTCAACAGAAAACGTGATTCATAGAATCATAGAATCATAGAATGGTTAGGGTTAGAAGGGACCTTAAATATCATCTAGTTCCAACCCCCCTGCCATGGGCACAGAAATCCTCCGCTACACCAGCTTGCCAAAAGCCTCATCTAACCTGGCCTTCAACACTTCCAGGGATAGGGCATCCACAACTTCTCTGGGCAACCTGTTCCAGTGCCTCACCACCCTCAATGTAAAAAATTTCGTCCTTATATCTAATCGAAATCTGCCCTCTTTCAGTTTAAATCCATTGCCCCTTGTCCTATCACTACACGCCCTTGTAAAAAGTCCCTCTCCAGCTTTCCTGTAGGCCCCCTTTAAGTACTGGAAAGCTGCTATAAGATCACCCCGGAGCCTTCTCTTCTCCAGGCTGAACAGCCCCAACTCTCTCACCCTGTCTTCATAGCAGAGATGCTCCAGTCCTTGGATCATCTTCGTGGCCCTCCTCTGGACTCGCTCCAGTAGCTCCATGTCCTTCTTATGTTGGGGACTCCAGAGCTGAACCTAGTATTATAGGTAGGGTCCTGCTTTGGTTAGAGAGTGGGTTGAACAAGTGTGAAAGGTGTGGTTAGTATCTAAAAAGGAATAATTCTGATTGTTTTATTTTACGTGGTTGAGTCGTTAGAAGCTTAAGCACTCAACCAAATTTATAGACATTTCAAATGCTCAAAAGCTGATTGTGGAAAACTCTTGGAATGTTTGATGGAAGTTGCAATAGAGTTGCCCCTGTGTTTTTTTTTTTCCGAACAGTAAAACATAATGTTAAATTATGTTTTAAAAGTGGTACATTTGACTGGTTGCAGCTGTTGGAGTTTCACTTGTAAATTCCTGTCTTTAACTCTGCATGAAAGTGTTCTATAACAAAATTTGCCTGTAAATTCTCCTATTTTATAAGTGCATAGCAAAATCTAATTGTTGGTAGCCATGCGCCTTATTTTTACTCACTGATGTCTCAAAGTGGGTTCTAGTGACTTGGCAGTTTTACATGTGGATGAAACTTTGTATATTTGTTGTTTTTTTTAACTGGACACTAAAGTAGAGAGTCTAGTAGGTCTGGTTTTATTTGTTTTTATTTTAAGGTTAAGGTAGTGCTGTGCTTTCTTTTCTGGTACTGCCATGTCTTCTGCTGAGCTGAAATTAGTATGACAGTCAGAATTTTGGTTGCAACAGAGACTGTACACACAAATAACATGAAGTGACAGCAGCTTTTAAAATGGAAAATGTAGTGATGAAAACCCTGCCCCTCTTACCAAATAATCTAGTAGCAGAAGTAGGAGGAAGTTATGGTCTTGCTGAAAGTAGTTGATGAAGTTGAAATGAGAAGGTTTGGTGGTGCTGCAGAGTAGACACTTGGTAGTCATGCTGGCTGTATCTGCCTGTTTCAGCCAGCAGTAATGCGTATCCCTCTTGGTGTATTATAAAAGTATCCTACTTGGTATGCCAGTGAAATAAGGAACAAGAGGCCTTTGCCGCTTTTTCATCCCAGCATTCTGCAAGGATTTATAATTATCATGCTTTCCTTCTTGGCAAGAGATGAGAAGGCAGCATTCAGAGATGAGCTCAATGTTATACTGAATACTTCACTCAGGAGACTAAAAATCATGAGTGTTGATAAAACTATTAGTAATGACCTCCTTTTCAGGCCTGTAATGCTTTGAAGAATTGCCTTGAAGTTACCCTCCCTCTGCTGCCTCTGAGCAGCAGCAGTGACTGGGAGGTCAAAAACCTCCTAAGAGGATCTTCAGAAAGAGCATGTATATCCTGAACTTGGTAGTGAAGATCAGAGGATATTACAGTACATTGTGGGTCCCTTGTGTTAGTCGAGAGACCCAAAGCCGTGCGTGGACATTGTGACCAAGTTGGGCTACAGACGCAAGTGTACGTTCACAGTTGCATTTGTTTTCTAACGCCCTGAACTTACCTGAATACCAGGCTGTGCTTCATTGGTATTGATTCCTGTTCTTCCTGTAAAGCCCTACAGTGCTTTGGTGTCTAGTGCTTTTCCTCTGACCTTTTGGGTTTTGATAGTCCTCTGAAAGGACTATAGCATTCTTCTACATTAAATCGTACAACTCAGAGGGGGGTTGTTGTTGAAAAAAACGAAATGTTAATTAAATACAAAATATTGATTTGACTTTTTCATTGCTGACATTTTTAAAACAGAGAAGAGAGACGAAGTGGTATATTATGACACTTACGAAAGTATGGAAGCTATGCTTGAAAAAGACGATATGGCAACATCTATATACTTGCAAAAAGAGGAGCTGCAAAAGTTACAACAAAAAGTTCGCCAGCTGGAAGCAAGGCGTGGACGCATTTCAGCCAAGAAAGCCTACCTTAGAAATAAGAAGGTATTATTAAATTGCAAATTTCTAGCCTAATTAGCAAATTTAATAAAACTTCAAAAGGTTTCATTTCAGATACAACTTCCGAGTCTCCTAGAATTTTCGTGGATTATGTTTACTACTTACTAGAAGTTGGTTTACAGTGTACCAAATACAATAGCATGTATTATTAAATTGATATATTTAAGATTCAGTTTACGTTTTAGCTTTAAAGGAACCTTTAATCACTTTGAAGTCAACAAATAAACTTGTTTCTATTAACTAATCAGAATACTTTCATGTGGAAATACATGCTAGAATGCATGTTTTTACAGAGTAGTGTTATATGTGTTTGCAGAAGAGAATTTTCAAGGGTGTTTTCTCACTAATAAGTTCTATTTTCATTCTCTTACCTCATCCTTTTGAACTTTTCTTGTGTGTCATTGATACTCTGTATTCAGCAGGTATATATGAAATCCAGTATATATTCTTAATATATAAGACTAGGTGTGCTATTTAGCACCACTTTCCCTTTTCCATGTGTTACATGACTGGGATGTTGTGCAGAAAGCTGTATTAATGTGTTTTGAAATTGTGTATCAAGTGCATGTAAATATATTCATTCCTTTTTCCAGAATGACTTGTTTATTGTTCCCTAGCAGTTTGCGGTTACATGAATATGCATTATTAATGAACAAGATAGCTTAATGAGTAGAATAGATCAAAGTTCTGAGAGAGCATTGTAATACTTATTATAAAACAGGTTTCCACTCCATACTATATACTATACAGCTATGCAGAAGTCTCCGTTCAGACCTCATTCTAGGTTGGAATCAGAGTTTGCTGGGTTGTATGTTCCTAGTCATGTCCCTTGATGTGGGAGATGGTCCTTTTATATTAACAGTTCTAGTAGATTGAGGGTAAAGCCTTCAGGTCTTGCTTCCCCTTCATAACTAATATATGTATTTCTGTATCTGAATCTGAAGCATAACAGAGCAAACAAAACAGTAGCTGATGTGTTTTATACTGGATTTTTTCTGTTTCTTCAGTCAGTGTCCTGTCTCTGATTAACACAGTGTGGAGAAGACTGCAAATAAATTATTATAAAAGAAATGTCTCTTGTTAGCCAGTTATGGGAAGTAGTTTGCTTAGTGACATTGGGTTTGTTTTATGTGAGTTTGTAAACAGAAAAAGTAGTGAGAAGCTGAGCATTTTAGGACATTGAGGAGTAGATCCTATCTGTCATGTTATGCTAATTAATATAAGCTACATAATAATAGTTGTGCTATTTTCTCCTGAATGTGAAAAGACACTTCTGGCATCTTACAGAGTACACAAACCTGTTCAAAAGCCATAGCCCTCTTGTTGTTCCTTACTTTACTTATGGGAATTAACAAGTTGAGAAGCAACCCTGCAGCAGAGTAGAGATTTTCTTAGTTTGCCTTCTTACCTGCATAATGAAATAGTCACCTTCAATTGTCTCATTTGTTTTTAGTTTATACTATTATGAAATACCTTGCTTAAGCTGAAGGAATTAGTTATAGGCTGTAACAGTAGTTGGAGCATGCCTACTTGTGAACTGGGACGTGATGCAGAGTTGTATATGGTAGTATTGCTCACCTGGGTCTGCGTGCAGGAGTAATATAGTCATGTCTGCTCAACATTGTGCTGGACGAAGGTGGCTGTACTACTTTCAAGACTTGAGATAATGTCTCCATGTGGAACTTCACTGCTGGACATCACAGCACGGACGTCACAGTGCTCTCCAGAACTAGATCCAGCTCTCTACTGACTTCACTGCCCAGTGTAGCGTTATCTGCAGCTGAGTGCTGCAGTGAGGTGCTTTTCTTTCAGCTTCTAAAGAAATCACAGATTAGAATAACATGTATTTAAACTTGCAGGAAAAGATAAAAGATTTTTATTCGCGCAAAAAGAATAGGCAGAATCAGTTGTTGTGTGCCATTTTGTGGCACTCGTTGGACAAAAAAGAACATGGCTGTTTTGATGGATATTTATGTTAGAGGTATTTACTGTAGCTGCTCTTATTACTGCTGAATAACACTGAGCCCTTCTAAGTTGAGTGGTAACTACCTGAAAATCAAAACTCTTGTGGCTTTGATTCAAACATAAACAAGCTTTGTATCTTGAATGACCCTTCTAGTGATTGCAAAACATTGTTAATGAACACTATTTATAGTGCTCGATGTGGGTAGTCCTACTTTACAAAACTGCGAGGAAAAAAAGATTCTTCTTCTGAAAAGCTTGCAGTTTAAGTTAAGAGTGCAGAACAAAGATGCAGATGGGATGCAAAAGCAGACTCCAGATGGTCAAAATGAGTGCAGTGATGACTGAATGCTAAGTGGAGAAAAGAATGAGTTTTTGAGGGTGCATTTGGAAAGTATGTACTATGTGGTGAATCTTTCTCAAAGTCTGTCTGTCTTTCTCAATTAAGAAACATTTATTGTTGAACTGAGATGACGGAATACTAATGCTTTTCAGATTGTGTTCCTGACCATACTAGTTTCAGCAAAGTATCTTAAAACAGAATTGTAAACAAGTGTTCTGTTTGGGATTGGGTTGGTGAGGTTTTGGTGTTTTGTTCTTTATTTTTTCACCTTGTCAGTTCTGGAGTCAAAAACAAAAAGCAAGCTGGGCAGTAAGTGGTGTAGTGGAGCAGTTCTTGCTCATTATGAGGTTTTTGGCAACTGAAGATTCCCTTAGAATGCCTTCTTTGTAGGAGCAGATATCATGATAAAGAAAACAATAGGAAATGATTCTTTACCTAATCAGTTTTTATTTTTCAGAGGAGGTCATTTCATCATCTGGGTATTTAAAAATTTTTTCTGTTAAGGAGATAACGCAGTGAAAGGGAATCAATTACTCTGTGTAGAATAAGACTGTACAAGATATAAACGTAAACTTCTGTGACTATGGTCTCTTAATTTTGGTTTTCAGGAATTCCTTCTTTGTTTTTTGAAGTTGATGATTTTATTTTTTAATGATGTTGTTAAATAACAACATCAAAAGGTTTGTACCAAACAAAAGGTTTGTACCAAACCTTTATTTTGAAACTTTTGCTAAAGGTTTGTTAGAAACCTCATTCAGTTGTGATTCTGAATAACTGAGCCAGCATTTTTAGATTTATGGTTTTATAGAGGTTGATGTTCTTTTTATACAAACCTATTTGTGTTTGTTAAGCACTCATTTCTTGATGTTTGTTTGTATTGATGACAGTGAATTAGTTATTCAAAAATAAGATTTAATAGCGGTTTTGTTATTTTTCTTATTTCTTGAAAACTAGTTATGGATTTTTCATGCAGGATATTGCTATTGTTATCCCAGTCTACCCCCTGCTGGCTGCACAGTAGTATTAATTAGGTTATTCTATGGAACAAGCAGCTGTTTTATTAGGAAGATAGATTTATAGCAAATAGTCAAGGTAAAAAAAAATGGTGTAGAAAGTGTCTAGAAAAATATCTTTTGAAAAATAGAGTTGTGAAGAAATAGAATTATTTTACATCCAGGAAGAGCATTCTTCATGAGCAGAAAAGAGAAGCAACTGGTTCGTGAAGGCTGAGAGAGTCGGGGTTGTTCAGCCTGGAGAGGAGAAGGCTTGGGGGTGATCTTATAGCAGCCTTCCAGTACTTAAAGGGGGCCTACAGGAAAGCTGGAGAGGGACTTTTTACAAGGGCATGTGGTGATAGGACAAGGGGCAATGGCTTTAAACTGAAAGAAGATAGATTTCGAGAAGATGTAAGGAAGAAATTTTTTACATTGAGGGTGTTGAGGCATTGGAACAGGTTGCCCAGAGAAGTTGTGGATGCCCTATCCCTGAAAGTGTTGAAGGCCAGGTTGGATGAGGCTTTGGGCAACCTGGTGTAGTGGAGGGTTTCCCTGCCCATGGCAGGAGGGTTGGAACTAGATGAGCTTTAAGGTCACTTCCAACCCAAACCATTCAGTGATTCTATGAATCTGTTTGGGTTATGTTCATAATGTGTGCTTTGACCTCAGAAGCTGTTGTCTCCATTTAACAGGACACTTCTACTACTTTGCAAGCCCACAGTTTAAAGCATAGGCCATGCCGAAACAGGTGTTACGTAGATGCAGTGACAGCCGGCATAGGGTTAGGCAGTCTGCATTATTACTATTATTATCATTATTATCATTCTCGTTACGATATAAGGTCATAACTACACAGAATGCTTATAGTACAAAATGGTTTCTGCAAATACTGACATTTCTAAATTAGGAGCTAACCGTTTAATTGGGATGTTTTTCAATCTGAAAGCAAGGCACTCGAACTAGTTACATATAATACTAATGCAAATCTCTTCCTTATATTACTTGTTACTAGTCTTAAACATGTAGCTTATCCAGTGACGAGGATTGAGATCGTTCCTCAGCTCTACCTTTTTGACTTTCTAATAGAAGTACAATTTGATACTGTGAAATCAGTCAGGTGATTAAAAGAGAAATGAACATTACTACTTGATGCTCTCTGTTCCATACAGTTGTTCAACATCTTTCCTGAAGTGTGGCTCTCACTGGATGTAATGCTGCTTTCCAAGTGCTCAGAAGGAAGGACTACTTCGTATGTGCAGCAGGCTATATTCCTGCTCATACACCCAATTATGTTCTCTTTTTTTGCCAGAGTTTGTTGGTTTATGTTTGACTTGTCATCTGCCATAATCATCCAGATCACTTTCTTTAATGCCACCTGGCTGGTTTTTCATTTCATCCTTTGCAGTCACTTAATCTTGTCTACAAGTAGAGCCGTGCATTTGTCCCTGTGAAATTGCACCTTTTTTTAGACCATTTCTGTCATTAGTTAAGATGATTCAGATTTCTAATCCTGTGCTGCAATGTGTTTTCAGCCCCTCCTAGTCTTTTTTATTATTTCAAGTCATAGAGATTTAATTACATTAAAGTAGGTTGCTTATTAGTACAAAGACAGCACCAAATATGTTTTGGTCTGGTTTATTGTCCTGGTTTAGCCCAGCTGGCACCTAAATTCTACACAGCCACTTGCTCACCCTCCCTTATCCCTGGGGAATGGGGAAGAGAATTAAAGGGGAAAAGAAGGGAGATCTGTGGGTTGAGATAAGAACAATTTAATAATAATAGTAAGATAAAATTAAAAGTAATAATGATAGCAATATATTTTCATACATATATATGTAAAATGCTAATAATATATATAGGAAAAAGTGATGCCCAGTGTAGTTGCTCACTGTCTGGTGACCAACACCTGTCCTGTCCTGGCAAATGATTCCAAAACAGGTAAGTCTTGACACCGCAATCTGAGATGAGCGAGAGGCCCAAAAAGAGAAATGAGAGAGCACTCCAAGAGTTTGAGAACGCCCTCGGAATACAATTTCTGGAAGAGCCAAAGCACTCCTTCCCGATCGACTCTTATCTGTATACTGGGTGTGATGTCACATGATATGGAACACTTCCTTGGCCCGTTTGGCCCTCAATCCTGAGTGTAAGTTCCAATCACAGGGGTGCTGTGGACTCTTTGTCCTGGCTATGCTCCCCGCTAGCCTGTTGTGCTCCTACACACTGGCAAAAACATGGAAGCTGAAAAGTCTTTGATTTTTCACTACCAACTGTAAACATCAGTGCGCTATCAACACTCTTCTCATAACAAGTCTCAGACTAAAACACGGAACTCTTCTAGCAGATAAAAAGAAAATCTAACTCTATTCCAGTCAAAACCAGGACACTGATCCTCTTTACATGCTTAAAATATCTTTCATTATTGTTCTTAATCAGAAAGATTTAAAATACTGATGCTAAAGAGAAAAATATTTTCTAAAAGTGTGCTCCCCAAATATTTGAGACATGTCAAAAAACCCAAACCTAACTAGATTGTATAATACTTTATTTTTTGTAACGTACATTCCTTGTTACTTTAGAAGACTTCTAACTGAATTTAACACATAAATGGGGAATAAAAGTTTATTCTTTACTACAGTAAATAGTATCAGTAGTAGTAGTATTAGAAAAAGTCTTTCAGATTCTCTAATAATATTCCAAAGCTGTTGCTGTGTCTTTGAAATACAGAAATGAGGTAGTTTCTACTTTTGCAGTTCCAAATTAAATGGATTAACTTTTCCAGCTGTATTAATTAAGCTCTTTTGATCAGGGGGAAAAAACTCCATAAACAAGCAAACATAAAACCCAGCAGTGTTTAGCTATAGATACACCTCTGATGAAGCTGGGACAATATTTCCACAGAAACTTAAGCGCTTGTTGGAGTGTTGCCTGTATACGTTAGCAACATTAATGGTCTTACTGTTTAGAAACATTCACGACAGTGTGGTATTTCTGTCCCGTACAGGAACACTGTCTACCTTTTTATGTGATCACAGCATGTCCATAGTCAGCTTGTTGGAGAACGTAGCTTTTCTGCATTTCCAAGTGTCTAAAATTGTGGGCTTTTTTATCCCTCCCCTCCTTGTTTTTGTGTCTTTCTACCTCTACTGTAGTATCTTGCTTGATGGCTGATAACTCCATCAGCTGCCCCAAGCATTGCTTTAAATGGCAAAGCTCCTGTCTGGCTCCACCTGGTAAGTCAAGGTGACTGATGCTTGGGAAGCCCATTGCTTTGGACTGCTTCTAGCTGCAGTCACACTCCAAACTCCTTCCTAACACTGCCCCATGAGATCTGTTTCTAACTACACGTCTGACTTTGTTCTAGGTCTGTGTGGTGCTTGTACCAGGCCTAATTTCATTGCCCATACTGTCTGATTTCCTGGCACTCAGTATTGTCCTACGAACTTCTCTGTCTTGTCACTACTCTAAATCCCTGCACATGCTTTTTTTTTGTGACTGATACTTAATTCAGTTCTTTTTATATTACCTACCTGAAGTTTGAGTATCATCCTGTTTCTTGTCATCTATTGTAACATGGCCTGTTGATTTTTTTTTAACCTATTATTACATCACCTGCAAATAAGAAATGCTCATTTTTAAACCAGATGTTACAGACGTGACCTTGGTCTAATAAGTGAACATGCTTGTGCATGCATAAAATTACAACAACTTTATTAATGTTAGTGCTTGCAGATCGTACATGCAAAAGATGAACTAACACTTGTAAATGGGAAGCTGCATACTTGCATAAACAGTAATATTTAATATATGTGAGAGTTAGTTATTATCCATATATACAAATACATGGAGTTACACAAGGGTTTTGTGAAGTATTTGACAAATGAGTGTTCGTTGCCACTTTTGTACTGGTATTGTAGAACAGACCTTGGAGGTAGCTGGTGCTTGTGTGTATTCTTTTGATGGTTAAAAGTAGTACGTTTGGGATTGTCTGTCTTGGTTTTGTTTCCATTTTATAGTTGCATTGTAAATTAAATTAGCTTGGTTAAATTAGTTTGTCTGAGATAGGCTTTGTAATTTTTCTTATTCTAAGTGGTATTTGCTAAATGTGACATTATACCCTGTAAATCCATACTTGAAATTTGTATTTTATAGGTAACGTTTTATGTCTCTACAGGAGATCTGTATCGCAAAGCATAATGAAAAGATCCAGCAGCGTCACCAGAGTGAGGAGGAATACAAAATGCACCATACCGTTCAGCTAGTAAGTTTTAGTTTTCTGCTGTTGAGTTTAGCCTTTAGTTAATAGCTTGCATTTCTCATTAAATAGCTTGCATTTCTCATTATACATTAATTAGGAGAGTATTCAGAGTGGTAGCTGTTTTAAAAAGATGGTATATATCCCTGACCTTTGCACCACGGATTTCTGTGTCATATTATGCTGGTAAGGAGGAGTGTATAGCTGTGTTAGGGTGACATTGAACCCAAGCAAATAAAACAGTTCTTTAACACTAGGTTCACAGTCTGAGGGATTACTGCTAGAGTTAGGCTGCATGCAGTTTGTTATTGCGTGCATGTAGGCAGTGCTAGACATCTCTTGAGTACAGTGTCAGGTATGCTGAAATGAGTAAGGAGATAATACACATTTATTCTTGAATCTTAGTAAGCTTATTGATTATTTTTTCTTTCTACAAAAGAAATCACTTGAATTGTGTTGTGTAAGATGTAGTTCCATCTGGATGTTCCACGATTCTCTGCGCAGTCTCATCGCAGAGAATAGGCTAGCTAGTCCAACTTTTGTGCTGAAGGTAGTAGACTTTATGTTAAAGAATATTCAAATTCAGGGCTAGGTTTTGGGAGCTGGTATAGTATCAATATTTAACAAAGATCACCGACAAAGATGCATTGAAATCCAAGTCTCTTTAATTGAGGCTTCAATTAGATTAGTGAAAGTGATTCTGTTTCATCCTTATACATTTTTAACATTGATACATTTGTCCAGAAGTTAGCTGCATAATTTATTTTATGAAAAGGCTGCTTGTGAAAGACAGTATGTATTGGCATACTCTTTCAGCAACTTAGTCAGTTCTTACAATAAATATTGCAAAGGAATTTGCTGTGTGGATTATAGTCCGTTTATCACTCTTAAAATAAGACTTGACAAAGCTGAAGGACTTTTTTTGTCTCTCATACGCTACAGGGCTTTTTTGTTATTTATTTCATGGAGTTGCCCACTTGCGTGATATGAAGAACCTTATGGTAATTTTTTGAATCTTTTTTCTGTTAGTAATGTGACTGAAAATTTCTGCTACTACCTAAAATAGCTTTTCGGCCACTGGTTTTTTGGAAAGATAACCTCAAGGGTATCCAAACCTGAAACCAAATAAGAATTGCAATTTCACTATTCTTATTTAAAAACCAAACCAACCAAACAAACAAAAAAACCCAAAACCAACCCCAAACCAAAACAAACAAAAAAAAACCTCTGGAGTTTGAGACTGCTTCAGGAAAAGTTTGACCTGATTACATATGTAATATGCAGGTGTAGTGATAGAACAATTCTTTCTTCTTGCTATAATATTTCTTTGTGCTTCTGTTTTAATTTCTTTGCCCCATTACTCTGTTATTTTCATCACGTGCTTGTATTCCTCTTCACCTTTTCCTATTTTCTGTCCTTACTATTTTTCAGACATATTCTCTTCTTCCTCTCCCTAATGCATCTATACTTACCTCCTTCCAAATCAGACTTTCACTCTTCAGGAAGGACACCGGGCCACTAGCTAACTTCCGAAAATGGCAGGCAGACACTGCTTTTGTGTTGACTGAATGATAATAAAAGTTCACGAAAGTGTTCAGAACTTTTAATTATTATGATGAAGATGGGCTTTTAAAAGTAATACTTAATACTGTGAATCTTTTAAGAATTAAAGCTGCTGTTTCTGCTCAGTTTTTTCTTTATAGTCACCTGTTCTGTTCAGTTCTGTCACTTTTCTTGATAACTTCAGAACGTGCATGCAATGACTTTTGCCATCTGATAACTAGCATCCACTCTCAGCAAATTTGACTGAAGTGTTTTGTTTCAAAGATGTAGTAACTTTGCTGAAGTTTTGTGAAAATGATTGACCACTTAAAGGAGGTGGATCCAAATGTGTCTTTTCACTGAGGTAATATCCGCAAACAAGAAAAAAATCAACTTGTCTTAGCTGCAAGGAAGAGCTTCAAACCTCTATTGAAATAAGATTACAGAAAACCAAGCTGGATTAAATAATGGCATCTTAATTAAATACAAAACTTTCATTTACTGTTGTAAATTGTAACAAAAATATGTACTTAATCAGCTCAGTATTGAATTCAAAACTTTGTGGCACTGAGTTCTGTGATCTTTTGCTCTGTGAAAATACCAATATGACTTGTTTTAAATGAGCAACCTTGCAATTTGGACTGTCATTTTGCTCTTGGAATGAGAGAAAATGGATAGAGGTTTGCTGTCTGGCTCATTCCTATCATTTTAATTTAAGGAGGCTTGTTTCAGTATCATATTCTGTCACGTTTCTAGTTATTTCTCATCTTTCAAGGTAATAAGTCTTCAAGTGTTCCAATTCCAAATTGAAATCTTTCTTTACTGAGCTTTGCATTTCTTCGAGAGTATAAAGCATGAAATGCATAATATTTTTAAGGGAAAGACAAAGACCAAGTTTTGAAGTTCAGAAATATGTGTATTTGAGAAGTAGATTGTTAGGTAATTCCTAACAATTAGTAGAAGAGTTATTTTAATTCCTTTTTTTATTTTGTGATTCGACCCCTCTATTCTGCTCTCTGAATGCAGCTGAACTGCATTCAGCTTTGAGGCCCCCAATATAAGAAGGACATGGAACTGTTGGAGTGGGTCCAGAGGAGGGCTGCAAAAATGATCTGAGGGCTGGAGCACGTCTCCTACAGTCTGAGAGAGTTGTGGTTGTTCAGCCTGTATGAGACGTGGCTGATCTGGGGTGATCTTATTGCAGCCTTTCAGTACCTGAAAGGGGGCCTACAGGAAAGCTGGAGAGGGACTTTTTACAAGGGCGTGTAGTGATAGGACGAGGGGCAATGGATTTAAACTGAAAGCGGGGAGACTTGGATTAAATAGAAGGAAGATATTTTTTACAATGAGGGTGGTGAAACACTGGAACAGGTTGCCCAGAGGAGCTGTGGATGCCCCATCCCTGGAAGTGTTCAAGGCCAAGCTGGATCAGGGTAAACCCTGATCTAGTGGAAGGTGTCCCTGCCCATGGCAGGGTGGTTGGAACTAGATGATTTTTGAGATCCCTTCCAACCCAAACCATTCTATGATTCTCTGAATGGTGCTGAATAGCATTGGATGTAATATTTACATGTTTTTAATATATTTTCTCAGAAGCGAGATCAATTACAAGAGGAAGAGGAAAGAAAGAGCTCCTGGGTTAGTCAGGAACGACAGAAAACACTGGACAGACTTCGGACATTTAAACAGGTAACAAGAAGAGTTGTTCTTTTTCCACCAGTTTCTTTTATGAAAGTACTTTTTTTTTTTCCGGGACTATACTATGCTATCAGCGATTCTCTTTCATTTTGTGGTTAACTGTTCTTTGGAAAATTTATAGCAAAATATGGCATTGGTGGTAATATATTCCTCTGGCCGTTACGTTTCCAGTGCCGTGATAAGCTTCTGTTCACTCTTACATCTACACCTTGTGACAAGGTACTTAGCAGACGTTCCTAAAAGAAGTATAATCTGAATGGTATTTCCCACAAAGAGCACTGCCATCTGACATACCCCCACTCCCACTGATTGCTAGAACACGTGCCAATACCTGTTCCTTCCTAATACAATGTAAGTGTCAGAAAGTAGATAGAGGATGGAATGAAGGGAGGAGAATTAAGGAAAGGGGTGAAGGTGCAAGAAAACAGAGACTGTATTAATTGGTGAAGAAATTTCTGGTTTTGGTGAATACATTAAAAAAAGATATGAGAAGTTACTTTACTGGAAAGCTGTTCTGCTCAGCAGTACACTTTTCATATCCTTATTGTTTGCAAGGCTTTTGAACTGCATAGCTTCTGTAAATTAGAGCAAATTTACTTATTTTAACCAGAAACATTAGTGAACTGACTTTATATATGAGTGTGTTTATATTGTTGGGATCTTTATTGCTTTAGGCCTACCACAGTTGTGTAAGATGTATTAGACCTGTCTTTGAGAAGCAATTTAAATTTTTGCATAAAAATGGCTATGAATACAACTAATATGAAAACACAGATATTGAGGCAGAAAATGTAAGAACTAAATCAAAAATACTTTCTGAAGTCTCAAAATGTTTACCTTTTTAAGCTATATGAGTCACATCTAAAGCCAGTGTATTAGGTCAGAGAGGACTTTGTTGCAGGGGGAGCCATTGGCTGGTTTTAGAAAAGGAAAGCAAGAGGGAATTTTGAATTCTAGTTTTCAGAAAAAACAGTTTGGTTGTGTACAGTCTGGTTCTTCGTGAAATCCTAGTTTTAACCCATGTATATCCTTGACTAAACCAATCACGTGTAAATTGTGGCTTAACCAAGAACAAAAATTAAGAAACGGGATCATTTTTGCATAGAAGTGAGGATATATTTGCTTTGTTTCTACATCCAGAGCAAAATGCATGAAAGTAGGAGATGGATTCTATTTGTCAGAAGGGCAAACCCTAATGACAGGTACTTAGTATCTAGAGTAGTGCTTTGCATGTACTTACCTTAATTGTCAATAACTTATTCACTTTAGCGCTATCCTGGGCAAGTAATACTTAAATCAACCAGACTACGGCTGGCTCATGCAAGAAGAAAATGTGCAGCCAGCTCAGTATCCTGTGTCGATCAGCCTCAATCTTTGCCAGCAACCATACAAATCCAAGAGAAAAGTGAAGAGGTGGAATTGGAAAATGCAGTTCAGCCTTTGCAAGTGCAGGAATCCACAAGCTTAGAACAACTTCAGGATATCGTTTTACCTCCCAATGGTGTTACCTCTGAACTGCCTCATGTTAGTACTTCTCCACTTACCAGTAATGAGCTTCAACCAGAGACTGTTACTGTAGTACCGCTTCCACCTCCTTTGCCTCCACCACCTCCACCTCCGCCTCCACCTTTGCCCTCCAAGGAAGATGCCACCAAATCCTTAGAGAAAAGCGATGGCTTTGTTAAACGTCAGAGTGAGGAGAAGGGAGTCCAGCACTCTTCTGGAATCCCACCGGCACATCTGTTTGACAGCAGTCAGCTAGTCAGTGCCAAGAAAAAGCTTAAAAAGACCGGTGATCTAGAGGGTTTACAGAGGAGAAGAGGTAATGTTTTCATTTCTGTGTATTTAATTGCAATGCATTCAGTTCCTCTTTTGAATTGCTCTATAGAAAAGTGTATGCTGTGATTTGATTATAATTATTAATGGGAAATTTGTTAAATCGTTTTCAGTTGACAAATGTCTGTGACTCAAACAAATGTTAGGACCTTTACAACAGTGTGCGGTATAGTTCTTCAGTTAGACAAAAGACACTTGTGAAACTGATTGCATGGCATACTGTGCTAGACTAGCTAGAAAATGGAGCTAAACGTTGCCTAAAAGAATCTTTTCCTGTCTAGTTTACAGCCAGCACTGCAATATTATATCCTTCACCTGAGGGTGCAGTGTTTTTTTAACAACAGAATTTTACATAACTTGTGACCTAGTAAAATGAATACTTCTCTTGGGACATAGGAAACCTGGAGAATGCTATCTTCAAGGTTTCTTCAAATTTTCATACAAAAGTCCAAAAACTCTCAAGTACCCTTGAGAGCTGAGTAGGAGTATGTTTGACTACAATTGGATATTAAATCTGTAATCATTCAGCAAAGCATGTTAATGAATAGTTAAAAGATTGGAAACTAATGAGAATGAATAGATCACAGGGCTGAGCTGGGAGATCTATTACAACTTGTTGATTCTCTACTACTTGTTTTTAACTGTTTATCCTTTATCCCATATATAAAATGAGGAGGATGGCAGCCATATTTGAACAAAATAATCCTGGTGTTTGGGTGAAACATGCTGTGTTGGAACTAAGTTTTTATTTGAAAATCAGAGGTGGGATTTTCAAAAGCGGTCAACTGAACTATTTTACTGGAAGTCACTGAGAAAAACTACCTTGAGTGGCTCCCCGATTCACACTGCCATAATATGGCTGTAATAACATTTTATTAAAAATTCTATCTGGCTCTGTCAATTACAGCTATAGAAAATTACAACTACAGAAAAAACTTTCCATTGGCATTTTCCCTCATTCAGAGAAAATAAAAATTAGAACTGTTTTCATCAGTCAGACAGAAAGAAAAGTGTTTCCTCTAGAATTTTCCTTAAGTGACTGAAAACCCTTAAGAATTCTGCAACTATGCAGTTGCTTCAAGTTCTTTTGAGTCTTGCCAGGTCACATGTACAGTGTCTTAAGTTCATTATCAACTTCCATGCTGCTGTGCTCCATATTTATTTTCTGTGGTCCTATTGTTTATTTTTCTGATACTCATTTCATCTTGCAGTTTTATATAAAGCATGTATTGTGTGATTTGATATAAATCATAAAATGAAAAATATAAAATCAAATTATATCCTCTCTTAAGAGTATTGTTAATGTCTGCAGCAGCACTCTACCTGCTGCTCTGTATTCCCTGAAATGGTCCCAGACTCTAAGTGGCTTCACAAATTTGTCTCTCTATGACAGACGAGTATTTTACAATCCTCCCTTCCTCCTTCAGATGTGCAGTCCTGTATTCTTCTTTTATTTCTCTTTTCCTCGTACCTATTCCAGCTGTCTGGGGCATGAGTCTGATGGACATAGCCCACTCATAAATGCAAAACAGGTTTTAAAAATATGTTCTGCAATATACAGAACAGAACCAGAGAGGAATATTCGTCTATCGATTGATATTTGCTGCACGTTGTATGAGCTATGGTATGCAAGCTATTTCACACTGTTGTACTTCATTATACTGCGCTCTCTGGGATAGAGATCTTACCTGCTTGTAGCTCTTTAAAGAGCCAAAGCCTGATTTTTATTTTTGCAGAGAACTGGTTTCAAATTGGTGATGAAGGATTTGTCATAAAGTATTAACTTTTACTTCTCTGTTTTCATTAATTATAAAAGAAGGGAATTTTTATAGGTATGCTGTGACTAAGTGTAATACATGAATCCAGAGAAGCAGGAAAATGCATGCTGTTGCAGTTGTCTGTACTGCTGCTTCCCTCACTGGCATGTAATAATAGTCATACAGTAAGTAAAATAAGCCACAAAATACAAGGGCTGAGAATGGACTGCACAGTCCAATACTTGAGAAACATACTCAGTACCTGAGCTTCAAAGTCAAGAAGGATAATGTTATAAAGACTTTCATTGTGTTGAATTCATTGCAGCTATTTTGATTTTCCTGACGGCAAACAGGAAAGCCATCTTGTTCAAAAAGTTTTACTGCCTGCCTGACAGGAGATTAAGTGGCTTCAGAAATGATAATTGTCTATATAAACCAGTTTTGACCTGGTAATAGGGAAGATAAATTTGGAGGCTAAAACAATAGTGGAGCTACCATTAACACTTATGGTGTGGGACTATTACATTAACAGTATGTGGCTACTTTTTGGTCTGTAGAAAATTGAAATTAAGACTGATAAAACTTAGTAAAAATAATACTGAAGGTATTTTGATTTACTGCAGTGAGTTCTCCGATGGATGAAGTGCTGGCTTCCTTGAAACGCGGCAGCTTTCATTTAAGAAAAGTTGAGCAGAGAAGTCTCCCTCCTTTTCCTGATGAAGATGATAGCAATAACATCTTGGCACAGATCAGGAAAGGGGTGAAACTGAAGAAAGTTCAGAAAGATGTTTTGAGAGAATCTTTCACAATTCTGCCTGATACTGACCCTTTGACAAGGAGCATCCATGAAGCATTGCGACGAATTAAGGAAGCATCACCTGAATCAGAGGACGAGGAGGAGAGTTTGCCTTGCACAGACTGGGAAAATTAACCTGTAATTAATCTACATTTTTTAAAAAATATTCTTCAACACTTATATAACAATAGTGGCTAAGCCTCAGGTTGTACATTCTAGGAGACTTAATACGAATGTGACTGAAGTGTCTGACGCCCAACATGGTAAAACATGCACACAGGAATTTATTATCACTGACTTTTCAAAGAATTTAAGGGTTATAGTAAGGAAAACTTTTTTTAGGCTGCATCTTAGCCTTTTATTGTTTGAATACTTTTGCTGAATATTGACAGGACTGCTCCTATAAAAAGTTCTGTTTTATTTAGTAAATTTGAAGGGTCTGTTTGCAGCTTACTGAAAAGCTTTAAAAAGCTTTTAAGTAACAAAGCAGCACAGTCACTCGTGGACACACCTTGTACTTATTTTCTAATTCCTTCTGGCCTTGTAAAAATTTGGCATGTTTATCACTTCAGACTGAATAGTTCCAAGTGAAGGATGGTTAGATTTGACTGCTGAACACATTGAAATCTCATTGGTTACCCTGTGTGACTGACTTTTGGTTTCAGTCTGTAAACTCTTTGACTTAAGTGAATTTCCAGACTATAAACAGTAAATACACAAATACAATTTATACTTCTGCTATTTACATGAATCCCATGAACTTGCATTATACTAAGCTACAGTGCCTTGAAAGTACAGATACTGACTTCAGCAGATGAAGTTAATGATTTCAGAATAAATCAGAACTTGCCAAGAGATTAGTTTTCAAAATTATGGCTGCATCAGAGGCACAAAGAGGTTCTTTATTACAACAACAGTATACAGCTCTATTTTTCTGTGGTAGTTCTGTTCTGCTACTGGCATGTAGATGAACTTAAGTCTCAATGAAAGCTCCCACTAAACTTAAAATTTGGAGAAAAGATAGGTATGACTATCTGTAAATAATTTAAAAATTTGTTTAGAAATCAAAGGCTATTTTGAGAGTATAGAAGATAAACACTTATAATCATTGTAACACAGCTAGCAGTAGGAAAAAAAATACCTTTTTGGATGTTTACAGTCACGCATTTCTACCCTGGTTAGTTATTGCCAGAGCTGCAGGGTGACTATTGGTGAAGTGCTACTGCGGTTTAAAAAGTGATAGTGACTTAGCAACATCTGCTGAATGTTGTTGTGATTATGAAATACTGTGTCTCAAACTGTTTCATAGGTATGCTGTTTTCAAATAATGTTAAAAAATTTTAAAAATGAAAATAAATATTGCCTTATTTCTCCATATATATACTGCTAGTTCTGGAGTTGAAAATCCAGGAGTGGAGCTGTACTTAACTCTTGCTGAAAGTTCCTGGAAGTAATGGACAATGTCTCCATCTTCTAATTCAGTATTTTGGGCCTCTTCAAACTGTAATCTGTGTTCACTGCCAGTAATACCAGAAGGCAAAAAAAGACCTGGTCATATTTTTTGTGTGCTGGCTTCAGAGTTAGTGTGTCATTACCCTGGGAGCTAAGAGAATCGAGGCTTTTGAAGACACTACTCAGTATTGCATGTTGGAATTGCTGAATATGTTGACTAGAAAGTAATTTCTACAGCAGTTTAGCTTTTCAGATGTTCCTTTTTTTTTTGTCCCCCAAACAGGTAATTCACAGCCACTGCCGTGAGAAAAGAAACTCCAGTTGAAGATTACTTTTCATTTCTGAAAATTCAGAGCCAGCAGTTACGACTATCAATTCCACAGGAGGCTTTCTTTGGCAAATGACTCAGTATACGGAAAAAATGGCCTGAAACGTTAATTTTTGGGTCACTTTTTTCCTTATTTTGTTACAAAAGTTCTGGTTTAGGCAGAAAGCTTTGTTGTTTAGATATGCATTTTATATAATCAAGAAAGCCGAGTTCTTAAGCACTTTTTGTATTTGCATTAGTAATGTGTGGCCAGTTAAGTGAGGAGGCCATTCTGAGTTGGGAGAATACTTGCTTTTAGAATAACTTTGGGATTTGGCTGAGACATCAAACCAGCTACAAAACCTCCCCTTCACTGCACTGAATATATCGTCAGCTTGAAAATTCAATTAAATAGCTCCTTGCAGAGAAGTTTGCTATGTAGCAGCGTGATATTCCAGAAAGAGCAGAATTCCTAGTTGCACTACAGTAGCTGAAATTCAGTAACATGCAACTAAGACTTTTTTTCTTCTTAGTTCCAAGAAATGTATGTCAGTATGAAAAGTAACTAGTGACCACAGCACAATGAGAAACAACAGTTGAATTCAGTACATACTCAATAATGTGTTTTTTTCTAACATGGTACATTTAGCAAGACATACTGCAGCACCTTTTAGAAGGTAATTTTGTAGTCTTACACCTTTTTCAAGTAGACATTTTCATGCTTTTTAAAAATAATATTTAGCTATGCTGAACCTAGTTAGTTATACTTTTATCATTTGTTATAAGAAGCAATATTTTGTAATTTCATACTTAAAATTATTTTTCTCTTTTGGTTTAAAATGGCTTTTGATTACTCTAAGCAGCCTTCTTTAAAAAAGATCAAAGCACTTAAACTGATAATTCAGTTGTGAAAATCATGCTTCTCTTGCTGGTGTTTATTACTCTCTTTAGTGGCTGCAAAAATGTTAGCATTTCATACTCAGAAACCTACTGGCTGAAAAAAAGCTCCCTTTAGATCATGACACTTTCTTTTAAAGGAGAGTTACAACTTCCTCTGTGGTGAATCCTTAGAAGTAATCATAAGCTTCATGACTAATGGGTCCAGGTACCTACTCTTACGATGTCCCAGTACAGCGATACAAGTAGCCTTGTGCTATCTAGAAACTCCATGTGATACTGAAGTCAGCCCGTTCAAATGCTAAGAAAACAAAACTTTCACTAGCATTTTATTTTTACTAGCATGACATACACTGTATTTGAGAAATACACAGTCTCTGTCCTTTGTGTAGTGTGTTCCATTCACTGTTCCTGTCATGACAGAAAAACCGCTCTGTGGATCTGTTGTGGTTTTTTAAGTGGATTTAGGCATTGCTGCTGTCGTGTACTGGAACGCACACTGTGTCAGCGTTTGTAACAGGAGATTTCACGTCTTGCCATTACTTGATACAGAGGAGCAGGAGAACTTACTAGTAATAGGCTTTGTAACCTAAAGGAACCTCAGCTGTTGGACCCTTCAGTTGTTTTGCTGTGGCTGTCCTGAAATTAAAGCTCTGTCAAACATCTCGAAAGGATGTCACTTTACCCTTGCTATCGACAGGCATTTTCTTAACCTTGTTGCCTTATTTATAAAGTTAGTGAACGTTCATTTTCAAAGCGCCTGTGGGCAGCGTTACTGTAGAGTTGTATCGATTTTGCTGTATTAGTCATCGTGTCTGTATTCTTCTGTCCTGAGATCAGCTTTACGAAACACTTGACACTGGCTTTCCAAGGACCTCAACCACACCACGCTTTTTTCTTAAACCGCTTCTCTGAACCTCTAGTTACATGGTGTGGTTGTAAGCTGTCTCCTACTGTGTTCACACAGCAGTAACAGCAATGTCAAAGTTCTTTATAATCATTTGACATTGCCAATACCATAAGCTGTGGTGTATTTTTGCTGTACATTTGTCTGTACTTCCAGTCACACCACAGGTTAAAACCAAGGTAATAAAATGAATTTTTGGCTGTAGCACAAAGCAGAACTATGATGTAGAATGGTGATTCACATTGAGCAACTTTCATGTCCATTTTTTCCTATTTTCCAGCCTGCAGTTTTATTCTTTAGAGTATGCATATGGAACACTAGCAGAATTCCAAGCTGAGGAAAAATACTGTTATTTTAAAGCATAGGTGCAGTGGTGCCCTTGCACAACATTTGTGTCTGCAGTTTACCACTGTGTTGTGATTTATCTAAATAGCTCCACGCTGTACTGTGCTACAGTTTTCAGATTAGTTGCCATGTGATCTATCATCTTTGCCTTGAAAAATGTGTGCATGATTGAGAAAAATTATTGTCCTTAATATCTTTTATATTTAGCTGAAATCTTGGATTCCTGTCATAGCTTCATTTATAGAAATGGAGTTCTCATACAAACATGTATTTCATGCGCACACAAAAAGTAGCTGTTGTGCAGAGCATAGCAGCTTGTATCTGTTCAGAACTGTAATCCTCAATGTGGAAAGTAAATGCTGGGGTTTTTTTCCACATACTGAAAAAAAAATATTATTTTGATTCTCTGTGAGTCACTAGATGTCACAATTTCACATAATTCTCCACTTCGGTATAAAAATTGTGCATGCATAGTGTCCAGGCTAATGCATAAAACTTCCCATCCTCTATAATGTGAAACTTTGCATTAGGATGGCTGGAGCAGCAAATGGGGAAAGCTTAAATGTATTCACAAGAATCTTAGGGAAATTATGACAGTCCTGCATTGAGATCAGTTCCTCCACAGCTGAGAAAAGCTGTAATAATTGTATTGGTCCTTGAGAAATCTTAGCAAGCATCACTACAGAAAAAACACATAAACACATGGAAGGAAAGAGAGCCTCCATAAAAAGACCTTTCTACCTATTATTGGTGTTTTTCATTTGTGGCTGGACTTCATTGTTGTGGCTGCCTTGTTCTATTGCTAGTCATTTATCTTAAGTGGTTTGTCAGCTTTCATGCTTTTTTCATCTTTAGAAACATCTTTGTTCAAATTAAAACTGTTCTAGTGTTGCGTAACTGATCCACTAAGGTAGAGTTGAAATGCATAATGTTTATTGCACAAATGCTTATATGGGGATAAAAAACTCTTTTATGAGTGGGAACAAATAGTTTCTACTGAAATAACAAAATGTAAGGTACACAGCAGTAGTCTTTTGATCAGAAATGGAATTTTCATCAACGTGTATTTCCTGCTGTCATTCACAGATGTTCTGCATCCTTTACGAATGATGAACTGTCTTACTTTGCTGTGTTTTCAGATGTTAGCTAAGTTACCTGTCTAGGGTAGATGAAGGCTTTTTTTTGTTTTTCTTAAACATCAGTTCAAAGATTTTTCTTTAAAAAAAA